AATCACTTTGAAGTGTTAATATGAGATCTTAGATCTAGAAATGAACAAATTTGAAATATGGATTGGGTGATGCATAAAGATTTGAGAAAGTCTTTGATAACTACGTAGAGATATATGCTTTATATGATTTTTGCTACGGTCCATACATTGTTCAATATTGCACTACAAAGAGATTTGAGTATAGATCTTCATATTAATGGAACTTTGATTCATTAAATCAACAAGTTTAAAATCTGCAATAGTGGTGACTTTGTGGCCACTGTTTATAAATATTCATTTTCGAGAGATCAGAATCTTAACGGATGTTTTTGTGACATCAGTCTTTGTCCATTATCTTAAAGGAAACTTACACCATAACCTTCTTTTAATCAATGTTTTCACTTCTTTGTATTAAAAACAATTTCACCATAAAAACATTGATTTTTCTCACATCTGGAACTCTCACAAGAAGTTCATGAAACTCAAATTCTCAGTAATCCAATCCCTGCTAAAACGATCTTGGTATACTACCACTTTTATTACTTGTAGGATCATAGTGTTGATGTGCAGTTGCACCGAAAAACTCTTATATCTGCAGAAAATGGCATAGGGGTAAATGTCTTCTAGCTATTTTCAAATAGACCCGAATTGACGGATCACTGAACTGTAAAGTTGGTCTATCTATATGTATGTGGCTATCTTTAGTAAGATCGTACGAAGGGTATGTTTACAAGACATCGCATATAAGAAGACAATACACTGTTCATACATAAACTGTTTTTTCAGACTTTTAAAAACTTAAAGAAAATTAGTTGTTTCTTATTACATAGAAAAGTTTAATTTGTTTTAATATAAAATATAGGTATATTACGTTATTGGTTTTTATAGTTTTTTTTAAGTATATAATATTTATATACGACAAATGCAACAAATAAATTCACACACCCTCCTCACTTTTGGTTAAATTTGAATCCTGACCTCTTAGGAGGTCAAAGACTACGATACCGACAGGACAAAGACCCTTTAGTTGGTTTTGATAGTTGGCATTTACAATCTCGTCCTTAAAATGAAATAACTACCCTGGTGGTCACTAGAGATGGCCAAATGGGCCTGGCCCGGCCCGGGACCGCCGGAGGACCGGGACCGGGACCGGGACCGACAAAGGACCGGCCCGGGACCGGGACCGGGACCGACAAAGGACCGGCCCGGGACCGGGACCGGGACCGACAAAGGACCGGCCCGGGACCGGGACCGGTAGGACCGGTTATGGGACCGAAAACCGGGACCGGTTGAGGTTTTTGGTAGTTTCGTGGGACCGGGACCGACCGGGACCGGGACCGGTTATGGGACCGACTATGGACCGGCCCGGCCCGGCCCGAAAAT